CATTAAGTTCAAAGTCAGGCTAGCAACCTCACCATTGCCCAAAACAAAAAATGCAGGCCAGATTTTATTGAGGATGAAAAGAAAGGGGAAAGTACGGGAGTGGAAGAAGGACAACAAAGTTCAGCCACATGACAAAATGCTCTTGTTGTTGTTTTTTATCTAAACCCAAAACTTATATTGAACCCAAATTTGTGCTGTGCAGTTTAAAGAGCAAGGCTTCCTTCACCATGAAAGGATATCTACAGCATGCAGCCAAGTGTCAAAGAATTTACAATGAGAAGAAAATGGTGTTTCAGTGGTGACATTGGTGCCATCCATAACCCAAAAGCCATCATCATCCAACACCAGCAATAGGCGACAGTCACAACTGAGACACTAATGAGCACAGCAACCAAACCTTCCCCCACACACACTCAACATGAAATTGCACTGGGAGGCCTCAAAAATCCCACAAGATTTCAACCAATCTCCAGTTGCCTTGAAAACATAATTAACTTCAATTGTCTTTTGATTTTATCTCCATTTTCTCAGGTTCTAGGCTATTTGGGAAAGCACTCCATGTACGTACATGTGAGTATGCACACCCGTGCGTGCACGTACTTGTCTGGAGTTACCAACTTCCCAGTGTATCTGCTTTTCTTAGGGCCTCCTCAGAGAACAAAACTTAGGGAGGAAGCTTAACCTTTGTGAAATTCTCCTTCTTATCCTGTACAGTCATCTATAAAAAGATTTCTGCTCCCACTGTACCTTACTGATATGGATGAGCTCAAACCAAGGGAACATTCAAGCTCAGCTTGGCTCTGCTAGGCTCAGCTCTCTGCTTTCTGACAAATGGCTTTCACAGGGATTTAAAAAAAAAAAAAAAAAAAAAAAAAATTTTCCTTCCTTCTCTACATAAATTTCAAAATTTCCTGGAAAACAGAAGGACGGGATTCAGAGAAAGCAATGGAGAACATCTACAGAAAAAAGACCAGAGGAAAGTCTGAGCCAGGCTAAAGACTAATTGATACTCCAGGGTAAATCCACAGTTTCATCCATTTTCCTTTATCCTTCTGAAATTCCCTGGCAGCAGCTGGGGCAGCCGAAATCAAATCTCCAAACATTGCTGCTCTCTGTGTGAACATACGCCCCAAGATGTGAAGCATGTTAAGTTGCTTTCCAGGAACCGCAGCAAGCGAGTTCCCCCATTTCCCTCCGTGTCTTGCTGTACATTGTGAGCCTCTAAATCTCTACGTGATAGAGAACTGAGACTATTTTGGGGGAACTTATGAGTCAAATAATAATGATTAGTGTTATTTCCAATGCAGTGGTGTTTATAGATTCCTACTGAAGAAATCGGTGCTGGATCTAGTCACAGATTACATACCTCTTCCCTCCTCCCCACTTCTGCCCAAAATCAGATTTACCAGGAAAAAAAAAAAATTTTTTTAGTCAATTGAGGGTCTTGGTGAGTCACAGACAGGTGACCTACACTACCATTCTCTCTTAAGAGCCAAGAGGTAACGCGAGCAGCAAGACTAAATGTCAGGGAGGGCAAAGATGAAAGGCAGATATCAGCTTTAAGAAAAATTAATGACCCTGCAGCATAGGTTCAGCACTAGTTTGGTTGAGAAAAAACAGACTGGATGTAGTCAACAGGTTGGAGAAATCCATCAAAAAAAACAGAGAGTTGTTTCACTCTCAAAAAACTTCCCTATTCAGTGGAAAATTCAGCTTGTTACGAAGTCAGATGGAAGTTTCTGAGCCAGCCCAGGCAGGGGTTCACCTATAATGCTCAAATGTGAAAGGCCAAGAACAAGGCATCCAACCACACACCCCTGCCAAAACCTCAGCGGTTTTATCATCTCGAGTTCAAATCAAGACCTCCCGTCCTGCTGTTCACACTGCACGTGGAAGAGTTTCCAAGAAACGTCTCTTGGCAGTAATCCCAAAAACGCAGCTTCTGACCCGCTGTTGGAAGCGGAGCCGCTACGCGCCGGCAGCTTCTCTGCAGGTTTTGAGAGCTGAACTTCCTCCGAAGCTGCCCCCATGCCACATCCTTTACTGCTAGCGTAACATTGAAACAGCACAGCATTTTCAAACAACGCCCTCAATTTCTCTAAACACAACTGTTTACACAAGCCTAAGGTGGTGGCCTAAGGCCTGGGGAGAAGATGAGCATGCCCTTGCTCTTGTTGCAAGTTTTTCATGTCATCGGGAACACTTTCCCCCCTAACCTTCCTGTAAACCCGTCGAGATCATGAAACTTGTGGTGGAAAAACATGGGCTAACCCAACCGTGCCTCGGTGAAACTCTCCTCTCCAGGGGGATAAGCTGGGACAGACAGTAAAGCCCTGGCAGAGCAGGTAGTTCTGAGCCAGTGCAATCATCACTGGCTAGGAAAGGCAGAATTCCAGGTCAGGCAGGACGGGGCTCTGAGCAACCTGATCTAGTTGAAGATGTCCCTGGTCACTGCAGGTAGGTTGGACTAGATGATCTTTAAAGGACCTTTCCAACCCAAATGAGTCTATGGTTCCATGATTCCCACTTGTGCTCTTTAGGAGAGGTGGCAAGTGTTTGACAGTGGGTGTGTTTCTGCCTGTCACCCTCCCTCTCCTCCTGTAGTAACGCAGAGTTTTCAGTTCAGGCACTTCTGATTTGAGGCCAGTCAGAGAGGGACCAGGGGGGGTTGGTTGATAGCTGGCTGAACCAGAGCCAGCAGTGTGCCCAGGGGGCCAAGGAGGGCAATGGCATCCTGGCTGGTGTCAGCACTGGCGTGGCCAGCAGGGACAGGGAAGGGATCTGAGCCCTGGGCTCAGCACTGGTGAGGCCGCCCCTCGGGGAGGGGGTTCAGTTTTGGGCCCCTCACCACAAAAAGGCCATTGAGTGACTCGAGCGTGGCCAGAGAAGGGCAGCGGAGCTGGGGCAGGGTCTGGAGCACAGGTCTGCTGGGGAGCGGCTGGGGGAACTGGGGGGTTCAGTCTGGAGAAGAGGAGGCTGAGGGGAGACCTCCTGGCCCTCGGCAACTCCCTGCCAGGAGGGTGCAGAGAGGGGGGATGAGTCTCTGGAGCCAAGGACCCAGCGCCAGGCCCCGAGGGAATGGCCTCAAGCTGCCCAGGGCAGGGTCAGGCTGGCTCTGAGGAAGGATTTCTGTGCAGAAGGGGCTGTTGGGCGTTGGAATGGGCTGCCCAGGGCAGG